TGATCTCAGACCTAGGCGGTGCAAGGAAAAGGGACCGACGGCTCCCCTCAAATTTCCTCTTCCCAAGGGATGACCCACCACTAGGCTGCCCTGAGGGCTTGACTCTAGCCATAGCCTTCTCCTGATCTATGGCTCTGTCTGCAGCCTCTCGATAAGTGGCGGGTTTAAATTGGTTTACCGCCAAGTAAATGTCAGAATTCAAGCCCCACAGAAACTTGTCGGCCTTGGCTTGCTCATCGCCGACTTGGCCACCCACAAAAGGCAAATAGCGGTCAAATTCCTCCTTGTACTGCTCAACAGTACCTGACCCTTGCTTTAAATCTGCAAATTCTCTTTGCAGTTCTCGCCTTTTGCTGTCCGGTATGTACTCCCGCATGAACACCTTCTTAAAACCATCCCAGGTGCTCAATTCAGGCTCTCCTTGGTGCAGCTTCCGATAACTCTCCCACCAAGTTAACGCCTTCCCAGTAAGCATGTAGGTGCCTACATTGACCTTAAGGTCATCGGAAACATGCAGCAGGTAGAATCCCCGCTCCACCTCAGAAATCCATGATTCCACCTTCTCAAAACTTGCAGTACCATCGAATCCCTTGTTCTTCATCAACTTCTGGAATTCGGTATAAATCTTCCAGGTAGGTACAGCAGGAGCAGAAGAGATAGGAACAGGGGAAACCGGAGCAGGGGCCGCAGGAGTGGAGACCACCGGGGATGGAGGTGGTACACTTGTGGCAGGAGATATTTGGCGTCTTATCTCTGCCATAAGTTCCCGAGCAAAGCTGGCCACTTGAGGATTGCTCATCCCTCCTTCCTGCGGAGCAGCTTGGGTAGGGGGACTAGCTTCTAGGATCGGAGGAGTGCCCTGATCCTTATGGCTAGCCCTCGGGGGACGCCCACGCCGTTTTGGAGCCATCTATAACCACAAAAAGGTTCATAGATTATTAATCAAATGCTCCCACGAGAAAATTCCCGGCAAGTTTCCACTTCCGGGACAAGCAACCCAAAAATATCAAAACAAGGGAAGCCAACACACATTAAAGAGAGAATCAAACAAACGCCTTTAATCAACCCCACTCTCATGCCTCACCACGTTCCTATCATTCCTTAGCTAGCCAAGTTCTAAACTAGTTCTAGGCACTTAATTTAAACCTAGGCTCTGATACCACAAAATCTGTCACGCCCTAAACCGAGAGCGAAACAGACGCCGTGCACTCGGGAACGGGTCCCACAGTGCACAAGGCTCGAAACCTACTAAGTTCATGCTACTAATTCAGATAA